GCCATCGTCTGGACGCAAATATGATTTTTTTTCCTGCCTGGCGATTAAGGAGCCCGTGTACACGGTACAATATTCCAAGTGCAGGCGATGAGTCACAATAACGTGGCTGAAGTAACACGACCAGACCACACACTAGAAGGTGAAGGGACGACGACGTTTCGGTCCGTCCTGGACCATCCTCAAGTCGATTGTTCAATCGACGGACCGAAACGTCGTCGTCCCTTCACCTTCTAGTGTGTGGTCTGGTCGTCAATATACCAAAATATATTCGCAAGCCAAACGTGGCCACTTATTGATCATTAATAATGACCTGATAGTGAAACAAACGCGCATCTAGATCCTTTAATACCGAGCTGGATCTTCAACTGCAAGCTTGTCTATTTGATGATACAGTCTTCAATGTTTATATTTCGTACCTTTCTCGGTCACGTCATTTAAGCACACTAGTCAGGGAATATTATGACAGAAAATATTAAAGTGTGAGATTCGGCGGCGAGCGAGTGTGACCAAGTGTGACTCGGGCCATAAAGATCTTTTTACCGAGCAATTTGTGTGCATTGGTCTGTGCCCCACACGCACATTTATCGTCATTACCCGCTAGCATGTACACCCACACTACGCTACGTGCCGTAATTAGCGACCCAGCACAAGGCGCACACACATATCCAGCCACGGCTTCCCAGGACGCCGACCCAACCACAGCTGGAATAACTAAGTTACCCCGCTGCGACCCGTCTTCTCGTACAACACCGCATGGTGTACGCTATGGGCCCCGCAGCGTACACAATAAGGGGTAACTATGAAAAAGTAACAGCTCACACACAATCCACGTTTTCTATATGGAGGTTCGTTGGGTCAGGTGGGCGGCTTGGGTTCCTACGTTTTTAGTACCCTGGTATTTTGTGTGGTGGCAGGTCAGGAGGACGGGCTGGTCCACTAACACTGGGTACCGGTGTCAGTGGATACCTATGGGTATAGGACTCCAGGGTACCAGCCTGGAGTACCACAATACCGAGAAAGTCCACTGGTTTGCCATAAGACTAGTTCTGGAACTGAGGGAGCTGAGCTACAAGGACAGGCCAAGGGACGTGACAACAAGACACAAAGCAATAAAGAACAGGACATGATTCCACCAAAATGCATTCCGTTTTCCCTATTTACCTGTTGATCATTTCGAGAGTTGTGCTACTTATGTTGGTTGCAAGGGACCTCTCATCACGGTTGCAATGGGTATATCTTGAGATGATTTCGGGGCTTAGCGTCCCCGCGGCCCGGTCCTCGACCAGGCCTCCTTTTTGTTACACATCCCCATGAAGCAGCCCGTAGCAGCTGTCTAACTCCCAAGTACCTATTTACTGCTAGGTGAACAGACGCATCCGGGTGAAAGAAACTCTGCCTATTTGTTTCCGCCTCCACCGGGGCTCGAACCCGGAACCTCAGGACTACGAATCCCGAGCGCTGTTCACTCAGCCGTCAGGCCCCAAATCTCTGAAACAATCATTTTCAGCACGACCAGTGACGGAAATCACGCATGAACGCTAAACACGCGAATCAGTCAGAGGTGTGAGGAAGCACTTCCTCACTGTAAGAGGCAGTAGGCGAGCGGAACCCTCTCAGAACACACTGCGGGTCAGATTGATCGATGAAAATTAAGCCACCCAAAAGGTGGCACGGGCATGAATAGCCCGTAAGTGGTGGCCGTTTGGAAGGAAGGAAACTATCAAGAGGAAAGCGCCAAGCTATTACGACTATATAGCACTCAGAAGGGATCAGGATAAGGATTTGGGATGGGACGGGGGGTGAAGGAATGGGGCCCTTTGGAGCCATTACCAGTATCATTAGCTGATGCTGGAGATCTGTGGAGGTGCGACTGCACCCTGCGTGACGGGAGATGTCTCCCGTGACTGCAGGCCACCTTCATCCCTAGTTTTAAAAGCAAATACGACTAGAAACATGGGGGTGGGGCTTGGCAATCATTGCATTACCCGACCTACAGTTGGAAACGCAGAGCCCAGGAGCTGAAGCTCGATTCTGCAGACTCTTTACGATGAGGTCATTATGCTCAACCACGCTTCCGTGCTAATGGCCTATGTTGACCAGACCACACACTAGAAAGTGAAGGGACGATCGACGTTTCGGTCCGTCCTGGACCATTCTGAAATCGATTGTGATGATTGAAGGAGGAAAAGGCAATAAATAGGCAGAAGAGAGGCCTAATTACCAAACTAATCACCACAGTCATTCAAGAGTTGTAACTCTGCCAACGTTACAAAAAGCTTTACCGATTCACTGTGAACTTGAACTTCTTGTACTTGAAAACATTAAGTTCATTAGAAAAGTAATCAGAAAACTTTTTCCCCTCAATATTTCATTGTTTAAAAATGTTTTTTTCTTGGTTTTATATGTTAACAAAAGTCGAGTCAAAATTCCAAAATTCTATTATGACATTCCGACACTAAGTTAAAATTGCTGATAATGTTAAACCTCTAGCACTAATTATTATAAATAATTAATACCAACCAACCCCACAGACTATAGTGTGTAGACCGTCGACATCTCTCAAGTTCTTACACCTCAAGATAACTTTAAGATAACGGGTATACATGCGTAGACCTTCAGATAACGGGTATACATGCGTAGACCTTCAGATAACGGGTATACATGCGTAGACCTTCAGATAACGGGTATACATGCGTAGACCTTCAGATAACGGGTATACATTCGTATACATTAAGATAACCTTAAGAGACCAGGTATACATGCATATACTTTAAGATAACAGCTCAAGTATTCCCTAACTGCACGCTGCAATACTTACACACAAACGGACGAGTTGTAACCGAGAATAGTGACAAGATGTAGCAAACATGCCAGCAAGAGATTTGCGATGTCAGCCTCGGGCATGGCTATCCTCGGAGACCGAGAAGCACGATAACAGTCATTTATCAGTCACACCTGTAACCTCCAGACACGCGGAAAACCTACCAGGTCTACAGACCTGGTAGGTTCCCACAATGCACTAGGCAGTGACGTTATCTTGAGGTTATCTTGAGATGATTACGGGGCTTAGCGTCCCCGCGGTCCGGTCCTCGACCAGGCCTCCTTTTGTGCGGATGTGGTGGAGGCAGACTCCATACACAGTTTCATATGTAGGTTCAGGAACCCTTAGGATTCTAAGGGTTCCTGAGCCTACAGTTCCTGAGCATTAGGGTTCTAAGGGTTCCTGAGCCTACAGTTCCTGAGCATTAGGATTCTAAGGGTTCCTGAACCTACAGTTCCTGAGCATTAGGGTTCTAAGGGTTCCTGAACCTACAGTTCCTGAGCATTAGGGTTCTAAGGGTTCCTGAGCCTACAGTTCCTGAGCATTAGGGTTCTAAGGGTTCCTGAGCCTACAGTTCCTGAGCATTAGGGTTCTAAGGGTTCCTGAGCCAACAGTTCCTGAGCATTAGGGTTCTAAGGGTTCCTTAGACAGGCGAGACCAAGGAACCGCATCTCAACCACCGCATGCACAACTAGATGAGAACAATAACGACGAACATTACAACCACGCGAGCGCTACGGAACACGACGCGTCGCGAGCACTACGGAACACCACGGGACGGAGGACAGATGGAACACCAGCAACAGCAGTGACTGACATGACCGCAAGTGACAGGACCGTCTCAACACGCCACAAACCAAGCTTATCTGCCACTTGGTCTCAACCAATCAACAGCGAGTCTTGCGCCAAGTTAGGTTAGAATGTTACCAAACCCTTACAAGCAGTAGTACCAAAGAGTTAAGAGAACTCGGCATTCCCTCCCCACCAACCTAACTACTTCCTTTGCTCATAATTATACAACACTTCGCCTCCCTCAAGAAATGTATATGTTTATCTCGCAGAATGTTCGGTGATGTTTATTGCTTGTGACGTGTTTATACATGTATTAACACGATGTACTGAACGGGGTGAGAATAGCTTGAGCTACCTCATCCCTTTGTGTGTATTTTACCTCAATAAACTTATTTCAATTTCGCCTCCCTCCCTCTTGCGTCATGGTCGGGGTTAATTAGTCTCAATTTACAATATGGAGAAGAGTACTGAGGGTGTGGTCTTGCTGCCTATAAGGGCCAAGCTTGTGTTCATATTCAACACTGTTGTGTTCATATTGAACACTCCAGCAGCTGGCTTTTCAGCCCACTAAACCTCTAACATGCAATAAGGAGCTTAATATGGTGCCAGTTGGTGGTGTGGGTGATGGATAACACTGCACATATGGTCAAATATGGTCACGGTAAAGCTATACAGTGCAAGAATCCGGCTAGCCTTAAACGTATATGGTATATGGCTAGCAAGTGTAGCAGCCAAACTTAATATTGCAAGCAAGGTTGGAGATGATAGCCGTGTGGTGTAAGCGTAAGGCTGGCCAGTGACGGTATGCACCTAAATGAACCGATTGATAAAGATTAAGCCACCCTAACGGTGGCACGGGCATGAATAGCCCGTAATCTACCTAGTATGAGCAAGATCAACCGTCTTTAATAATTCGGCGTTGATTGGAGACTCCACACAGGAGTAGGCTCTGATCTGCCATTAAGTTGCTCAGTACACAGAACACTGCGCTCTGAAGGACCTGCACAGGCACCTTGGTGTGTTACACACGGCTGTGTAGTACATGAATAAGGCTGGCTGATACAAGTGTAAAATTAGGCAGCAGAAATATGAACCTTGGCACCCTGAGATAGGACAGTTGAAGAACAATACTACAACTTGGGCACCCTTCCAGTGCTGATCTTTTGAAGGATATGAACATGTCACCTGCGGACGCTTGCTAGAGAACATCTCGGTAAGGAACACCGTAGAACACACACGGGTTGGTGGATGATGATGATGGTAGCAACCATCCTGTAGTAGTGGATGATAGTGAGACACCTAAAGAAGGAAGGGGAAATAATGCAGTAGAGGGGCATTAGGATAGAAGGGGTAAGGGGAGGGGGAAAGCAAAGGGGGCATCACTCACCCCTGAGAGCCTTCATGTGGGCGACAGCCATGCGGAGGATGGTGAGCTTGTCGGGCTTGCGGGCGAGGGCGGAGCAGGTGGGCACCATGTCGCTCAGCTCGGCGATGTAGGCCGTCATCTTGTTGCGTCGCCGCCGCTCGATCTCACAGTGGTTCTCCCTGCGCCCACAACACACCCAATACACATTAGTATCTCACACCATACAATGAACACATTACTAGCATATAATAAAATAACCACAGACTAATATATGTTTTTAAATATATTCCACTTAAAACACATCTACAAAAGGCACTCTACATATACGACAATGTGGCTGAGAAGCCCAAGATACATACAGATGACAATACCGGGGCTTAACATGAACCAGACAGCGACTATGCCCGGCATATCTATACCAAGCCGGGTATAACTATACCACAATATGTCCAGTAGACTCGTTAATCAACCCGTTCTCGCACTTTCTTTAAGTCAATATTGACTTATTAAATACGTGCATATGTGACATACTAATTTATTGTGAATATTTTAGTTTACCTTGAAAAGCTTCATAGAAAACACCGACCTTACATAACCTTCTTAGTATGTTAAGATAAGCATCTTATTGCTTCGTAATTACAATTATTACTTAACCAATTATAGGTATATTTTAAGTAATAATTGTATTTACGAAGCAATAAGATGCTTAACATACTAAGAAGGTTAGGTAAGGTCGGTGTTTTCTATGAAGCTTTTCAAGGTAAACTAAAATATTCACAATAAATTAGTATGTCACATATGCACGTATTTAATAAGTCAATATTGACTTAAAGAAAGTGCGAAAACGGGCTGCGTTAATGACACAAAGTTGATTGGGATTGACGATCAATCCACACTCCTCCTCCACCCACCGTCACACTCCTCCTCCACCCATCGCCACACCCCCCACACCCCTCCACCACCACACCCCTCCACCACCCACCGCCACACCCCCCACACCCCTCCACCACCCACCGCCACACCCCCCACACCCCTCCACCACCCACCGCCACACCCCTCCTCCACCCATCGCCACACTCCTCCTCCTCCACCCATCGCCACACTCCTCCTCCACCCACCGCCACACCCCTCCTCCACCCACCGCCACACCCCTCCTCCACCCACCGCCACACCCCTCCTCCACCCACCGCCACACCCCCTCCACTTCTTGTTCTTCAGTGGTTCTTCTCCGGCCCCGACCACGGCGGTCTCCGAGTTTGGAGTCCTTGTGCCTTCTTTTACCAACTTCGAGGTTAGCTCTGAAGCTGGAGCCCCTGGGGGCAGTTCATTGTTGCCTTCAACTTCGTTCTGGCAGTTCCCGCGACGGCGCTGGAGCCAATCATACTGGCGTTTGCCTTTCCATTGGAGACTTTCCGCGCCGTGGAGAGGGGGGGGGGGGGTACCTGCTGCATGAGTGACAGCTTCTCCTCGATATCAACCTACCCTGGCTTTGCGCCCTAGGGAGGCCACTCCAGACCGACATCCAGAGCGCAACTCCATAGTCTCCTATGAGTAACCTCCTCTCTTGAGTAACCGCTCTAGAGAGAGGGGGAAGGAGCAGCACGTGTACATCTTTCCTCAATCTTTGACGGCTTTAGCTTCATTTATTAAACAGTTTACAAGCATGAAAATTTCCCAATCAACTGTTGTTATTGTTATAAAAAGCCTCCTGGTGCTTCGGAGCTCATTAATTAACTGTAATAAATGTAAACAAAGCCGCCAAAGACCTTATTGTGAGAACATGTTGTCAATGCGAGGTCGCAAAAACAGTATGATCGCTCATGGAGTGCCGGTGTCGATGCGCCTTGTTTTATTCCTGCCTGACAGGGTCAAGACTAGAGCAGTCTTCCCGCGCGGTACACTCAGCCACATCCAGAAGTTGGATTCAAGATGAGGAGTTGACCATCCAGGAATTTACGGGATATTCATGCCCGTACCACCTCTTAGGTGGCTTAATCTTTGACAATCATCATCCAAGGAAGGCGGAAGAGGGGGAAGCCATCTAGGGAGGGGAAGGGGGCGGCGACTCATCCATGGGGGAGGGGGGTCATATTCAAGATGAGAGCCAACTTGTTATTCTAAGGTTTTGCACCCACTCTTGGCTGCCATGCTTGCTAGGATCAGTTGGTAACACTGTGGTTACCGAGGAGTCAAACTTCACAAGGATGTGAACCTCATAATTGGAATGAATATAATTTTGAGCTTTAATTCATACATCAGCCTGCCAGGAGTAGTGTCTAACAGCATGGTTGACCACACCATTAACCAGCAAGCATGATCAGAGACCGAGACGCGGAGACATTGATCCCCGGAACAGCCACTATTAGATAACCTCAAGGTAAGGAACCCAATGCAAAAAAATTAAAATATTTTAAAATATTATAATCAAATATCATGGCCACCATGATTGGTCACCACTTCCCAGTTGGCACTTTTCCATCTTCACTTCCCATGTGGCACTTCCTCCCTTCTATCTCCCGCCCTGCCACTCCGCCATCCTCCCACTCCGCCATCCTCCGCCCCGCCACTCCGCCATCCTCCCACTCCGCCATCCTCCGCCCCGCCACTCCGCCATCCTCCGCCCCGCCACTCCGCCATCCTCCGCCCCGCCACTCCGCCATCCTCCGCCCCGCCACTCCGCCATCCTCCGCCCCGCCACTCCGCCATCCTCCGCCATCCTCCGCCCCGCCACTCCGCCATCCTCCGGCCCGCGACTGCGCCATCCTTCGCCCAGCCATCCTCTTCACTGCCACCCCACCCCACCACCCTCTTCACTGCCACCCTACCCCCCCCCCCCACCCTCTTCACTGCCACCCTACCCCCCCACCCTCTTCACTGCCACCCTACTCCCCCACCCTCTTCACTGCCACCCTACCCCCCCCCATTCTCTTCACTGCCACCCTACCCCCCCCACCCTCTTCACTGCCACCCTACCCCCCCCCCACCCTCTTCACTGCCACCCTACCCCCCCCCCCCCTCTTCACTGCCACCCTACCCCCCACCCTCTTCACTGCCACCCCACCACCCTCTTCACTGCCACCCCACCATCCTCTTCACTGCCACCCTACCCCCCCACCCTCTTCACTGCCACCCTACCCCCACCCTCTTCACTGCCACCCTACCCCCCCACCCTCTTCACTGCCACCCTACCCCCCCCCACCCTCTTCACTGCCACCCCACCACCCTCTTCACTGCCACCCCACCATCCACTTCACTGCCACCCTACCCTCCCACCCTCTTCACTGCCACCCCACCCCCCCCCACACTCTTCACTGCCACCCCACCCCACCCCCACCCTCTTCACTGCCACCCCACCCCACCCCCACCCTCTTCACTGCCACCCCACCCCACCCCCACCCTCTTCACTGTCACCCCACCCCACCACCCTCTTCACTGCCACCCCACCCCACCACCCTCTTCACTGCCACCCTACCCCCCCACACCCTCTTCACTGTCACCCCACCCCACCACCCTCTTCACTGCCACCCTACCCCCCCACCCTCTTCACTGCCACCCTACCCCCCCACACCCTCTTCACTGCCACCCCACCACCCTCTTCACTGCCACCCTACCCCCCCACCCTCTTCACTGCCACCCTACCCCCCACCCTCTTCACTGCCACCCTACCCCCCACCCTCTTCACCGCCACCCTACCCCCCCACCCTCTTCACTGCCACCCCCCCCACCCTCTTCACTGTCACCCCACCCCACCATCCTCTTCACTGTCACCCCACCCCACCACCCTCTTCACTGCCACCCTACACCCCCACACCCTCTTCACTGTCATGCCACCCCACCACCCTCTTCACTGCCACCCTACCCCCCCACACCCTCTTCACTGCCACCCCACCCCACCACCCTCTTCACTGCCACCCTATCCCACCATCCTCTTCACTGCCACCCTACCCCCCCACCCTCTTCACTGCCACCCTACCCCCCCCCCCCACCCTCTTCACTGCCACCCCCCCTCTTCACTGCCCCCCCACCCCACCACTTTCTTCACTGCCACCCAACCCCCCCCACCCTCTTCACTGCCACCCTATCCCACCATCCTCTTCACTGCCACCCTACCCCCCCCCCCCCCACCACCCTCTTCACTGCCACCCCCCCCCCCACCCTCTTCACTGCCACCCCACCCCACCACTTTCTTCACTGCCACCCCACCCCACCACCCTCTTCACAGCCACCCCACCCCACCATCCTCTTCACTGCCACCCTACCCCCCCCCCCACCCCACTATCCTCTTCACTGCCACCCTACCCCCCCCACCCTCTTCACTGCCACCCCCACCCCACCATCCTCTTCATTGCCACCCCACCCCCCACCCTCTTCACTGCCACCCCCACCCCCCACCCTCTTCACTGCCACCCCACCACCCTCTTCACAGCCACCCCACCCCACCACCCTCTTCACAGCCACCCTACCCCCCCCCCACCCTCTTCACTGCCACCCCACCCCACCACCCTCTTCACAGCCACCCCACCCCACCATCCTCTTCACTGCCACCCTACCCCCCCCCACCCCACCACCCTCTTCACAGCCACCCTACCCCCCCCCCCCCCACCCTCTTCACTGCCACCCCACCCCACCACCCTCTTCACAGCCACCCCACCCCACCACCCTCTTCACAGCCACCCTACCCCCCCCCCACCCCCCCCTTCACTGCCACCCCACCCCACCACCCTCTTCACTGCCACCCCACCCCACCACCTTCTTCACTGCCACCCCACCCCACCACCTTCACTGCCACCCCACCCCACCACCCTCTTCACAGCCACCCCACCCCACCACCCTCTTCACAGCCACCCCACCCCACCACCCTCTTCACAGCCACCCCACCCCACCACCTTCTTCACTGCCACCCCACCCCACCATCCTCTTCACTGCCACCCTACCCCCCCCCCACCCTCTTCACTGCCACCCCACCCCACCACCCTCTTCACTGCCACCCCACCCCACCACCCTCTTCACTGCCACCCCACCCCACCACCCTCTTCACTGCCACCCCACCCCACCACCCTCTTCACAGCCACCCCACCCCACCACCCTCTTCACAGCCACCCCACCCCACCACCCTCTTCACTGCCACCCCACCCCACCACCTTCTTCACTGCCACCCCACCCCACCACCCTCTTCACTGCCACCCCACCCCACCACCCTCTTCACTGCCACCCCACCCCACCACCCTCTTCACTGCCACCCCACCCCACCACCCTCTTCAGAGCCTCCCTACCCCATCCATCCTCTTCACTGCCACCCCACCCCACCACCCTCTTCACTGCCACCCCACCCCACCACCCTCTTCACTGCCACCCCACCCCACCACCCTCTTCACTGCCACCCCACCCCACCACCTTCTTCACTGCCACCCCACCCCACCACCCTCTTCACAGCCACCCTACCCCCACCACCCTCTTCACAGCCACCCCACCCCACCACCCTCTTCACTGCCACCCCACCCCACCACCCTCTTCACTGCCACCCCACCCCACCACCCTCTTCACAGCCACCCCACCCCCACCACCCTCTTCACTGCCACCCCACCCCACCATCCTCTTCAGAGCCTCCCTACCCCATCCATCCTCCCCAACAAACCCCACAATCAACCTCACCCCCACCACCGGGTCACCCCCTCCCCTATCGCAGCCAATTACCTTTGGATGATCAGTAATTATGAGGAGGGAGTGAGGGTAGGGGGGAGCGTCCCAGCCAGGGCAAACAGAGAGGCCGAGCAGTCAACATGGGTGAACAGCCCCGGCCAGCAGGCCCCGGCCAGCAGGCCCCGGCCAGCCTCACCAAGCATCGGGGAGGGGGGCGGGGACCCACCAGTGCTTTTCACCCCCCAACACCTACCTATGGTTATACCCTCCCACCCCTCCACTACCCTCTTCTCCACCCCAATATTATCCATGAATATATTACTTGATTCCTTTTCCGTCTCCTTTCTAGTGAGTACATTTGGAGAGCTTTGAGACGATCCCAATAATTTAGGTGCTTTATCGCGTCTATGTATGCCATCCCACCGTATATGTTCTCTATTTCCCTCTATTTCAGCAATATCTCTCTCGCTCTGAAAGGGGAAGCGAGTATTGAGCAGTACTCGAGACGGGACAGCACAAGTGATTTGAAGAGTACAACCATTGTGATGGGATCCCTGGATTTGAAAGTTCTCGTAATCCATCCGATCATTTTTCTGGCTGACGCAATATTTGCTTGGTTATGCTCCCTAAACGTTAGGTCGTCAGACATTCCCAAATCCTTTACATATTGCTTTCCTACTATGGGCAGATTTGATTGCGTTTTGTACCCTATATTATGTTTAAGGTCCTCATTTTTACCGTATCTGAGTACGTGGAATTTATCACTGTTAAACATCATGTTATCTTCTGCTATCCAGTCGTAAACTTTATTAATATCTGCTTGTAGTTTTTCAATGTCTTCAGCAGAGGTAATTTTCAAACTGATTTTTGTGTCATCTGCAAAGGATGATACGAAGATGTGCCTTGTATTTTTGTCTATATCTGATACAAGAATAGGAAAAGCAGTGATGCAAGGACTGTACCCTGAGGTACAGAGCTTTTAACTGCGCTTGGACTAGATTTTATTTGGTTGGCTGTGTTCTGTTCGACAGAAATTTGAATATCCACCGTCCTACTTTACCTATTATCGAATGCCTTTGTGACGTCCGTGTATACCACATCTGCACTTCGTTTTTTTTTATTATTATTATTATTTTCTACCACAGACGTGGCCACACATTTACAATGCTAACCAGCATATATACATTTTCTTCTGTCCTCCATGGACAGGGTTAGAGAAATGTTAAACATAGAGTTCAAGGGTTTATTGAACACTAGCTGTGAGAGGCATGATCTTCCCGCTCTAAATCCATGTTGGCCTGGGTTGTGAAGGTCATTGGTCTCCATGAAACAGGTGACCTGACTCCTGATCACTCTCTCAAAAACTTGTATTATGTTGGACATTAGTGCGCCTGGTCAATAATTCTTAGCCAAAGCTTAGCTCCCTTCCTTGTGAAAGGGAGTCATGTCTGCTGATATAAGCGCTTCTGGTATCTCCCCCGTGCACTAGGTTTTTCCTCACACTACACTGAGTGCCTGCGCTACTGGCACTTTGCATTTCTTTATAATTATTGAATCCCATGAATCTGGACCCCGGGCTGAGTGCATGGGCATGTTGTCAATTTCTGTCTTGAAAATCTGTAGAGTTCAGGTTTATATCAGTTATATTCTCAGGAGTTTGGTTATCATGCATAAAGAAGCTTCCCGGGGCTTCCATATCTCCCAGCAAGTCTAATGTTGGACTCAACGGGCTCAATGAGTTTGAGCCCGTTGGTGTAGAGCACCGTGTGGGATGCGGAGTCCTCGGCCCGACCGTAAGTCTCTACCTGAGCCCACGTGCTCTCAACCCCCCCAACCCACCTGCCCTCAACCCACCTGCCCTCAACCCTCCCAACCCACCTACCCTCAACCCACCTTCATATTCTCAAATTACCACATGTCCTCCTCTCCTCAAGTGTACTTGAAGATCACAGGGACTTACCCACCCAGACATGTGCTTGAAAAACGGCAAAGTAACATTTCATAAATTACACACCAAGCCCAAAGAACATGTATGGTCATTACACAAGAATAAATAAGCATGCAACACACACAACACCACCACTACTACACACACTTACAGGCTACCATGCAAGGATAGACAAATAGCAGAAACCAGACAAGTAAATATGCGTGCAGTACAACACCCTCTAAAGCTACACATGCCAGCATACAGAACACACACACACACACCCCAACACTGCAGCCACACACACCCACACACACCCACACACACCACTAATGCTAGAGCACCCGCGGCCAGGCTAGGCCACACAGGTGACACAACAAGAGTTGGAGAGACACACACCTGCGCTCGATCTCGCAGTGGTTCTCCCTGGGGACAAACAAACAGCACACATTATTACACAGGAATTTTCAGTGCCCATCAGCATCAATCTCATGTTATTACTTCAACAGCAGCAGAAAGGGCCGTCCTCCCAGAGTGGGAAGGGGGGGATTCTGAGAGAAAGGGGGAGGGGGATTATCGGGGGAGGGGGGATTATCGGGGGGAGGGGGGGATTATCGGGGGGAGGGGGATGATCGGGAAGGGGAATAAGGATGCAGGTAGAGGGGGAGGGGGGCAAGGAAGGGGAAACCAATACCATTGTCACTCTACTTTGTATTATTGGCACCTCCCCCGCCCCCTCCCTTCGTAAAGCAAGGAGATGTGTATTAGATGAGCGTAGTGTAGCGGGGTATTGTGTAGGTGTACGTGGGGGTGTAGGGGGAAGGCTTCTCCAAGCAGGAAATCGCAGTAAGGCGTATGCTAGGGGGGGGTGGGGGGGCGCGTCAAACGTACCGGGATATACGCTGACGTACAAGTATCGGGAAAAGTGTCGCAGGAGGCTCTCACGACCACACACCGACAAAGAGCCAAAGAGTGACCAAAGAGCCAAAGCTCAACCCCCGCAAGCACAATTAGGTGAGTACCGGCGGACCACTGATTGAGGGAGAAATTACCAGCGGGTCCCATGTCGCGCCTACACCAGCATCGTCGCCAGGAGGCAAGAGAGAGAGAGAGATGGACATAGGTAAAGGAGGGTAGATATGAAGGTAAACTAGCGTGAAGGAGACCAAATTTATAACGGATGTGGAGTGGGTGAGGACGAGGTACAAAAAAATTACTTTAAGGGCCCTTGAACCCCTCATTAGTACAAGCGGACGGTATAAAGAGCACACAGATGGCAGGGGAAACTATCCTGACACAAGGGCCACTTCTTTAATGAGGACAACAACAACAACGGATCTGCTTTAAATACAATCCCGGACACAAATGAAGGGGACGATCCATAGAGGGCATTAAAAGCCAACTGTAAGGGAGACTTGAGGTTCCTACCGCAAGTGGGCAGTAACAATGTGAAGCCCAACATGTAGCGTATTGTGGTGGGTCCCGGATGAGTCGGCGACGTCAGCAGACCATACCAACGACTGTGTTAACACCAGCCAGACGACCACGTGAGCCCGCTGGGGGGGCATGACAGAGCCCGCTGGGGGGGCATGACAGAGCCCGCTGGGGGGCATGACAGAGCCCGCTGGGGGTTGAAGGAGAGCGGGCAGGGTTCAGCATACCTGGCGACGAGGGAGGAAGCCATAGGCAGATACAACAACAAAACAACAAGAGAGAGAAATAGGAGATAAACAAGAAGAGACGAGGAGAAGTAGGATGAAGAGGTGACCTCCCCTGAGGGACGAGACACGCCCCCCCTCAAGGGACACGTGGCTCCAACTTTCCATTCCCGGTAGCAGCGACCTTGACTCGCGACCCACTGACACCGGAATTGGCGCCGGCTTACATCTTGCTGTAGTCTCCCCGACGGCCTAACACCCTCACTGCTGCTCCAAGGAAACTACGTTCAATCCCCGACCGTCTAAGTGGTTGGACACCATTCCTTTCCCCCGTCCCATCCCAAATCCTAATCCTGACCCCTTCCCAGTGCTATATAGTCGTAATTGAAATTGAAATAAGTTTATTGAGGTAAAATACACACAAAGGGATGAGGTGTATTTTACCCCTATATAGTCGTAATGGCTTGGTGCTTTCCCCTGACAATTCTCTCTCTCTCTCTCTCCTAGGAAACTAAGGCTACGACACCAGCACGCTGAGAGCCGCGCCCTGTCCTCCTCCTCCTACAAAGAACGTCGCTTTTCGCTCGTATGCGTTACACGAGACCTAAAAATGGTCGTACTGGAAAATGGAAGCGGCGGGCGAAAGTGACGCACTGTCCCGTTTTCTGTTTTGGGTCCTCTGGTAGGTTAGGAGAGGACACTTTAAATCAACCGCTTTCTTGACGTTGGGAACCTCAGGAGGATGAACTGAGGAGATGACCCGAGACGGATGCTGCCTTCCTGCCTTGTAATCTTCCCTAATCTTACACCCTTCATCCACCCACCTTAAGCTGTTGGGCTTAGCATGGGTGGATGACTAAAAGGCTAAGATTCGTAGACTAAAACTAAAAGACTAAACGTCACAAAAAAGACAACCTAGGGAGACATGATTACCACATACAAAATTATCATGGGAGTAGTAACAAATGTGGCGAGGAGTGAAGCGGTGGAGGACCACCCACTCCTTCCCCACCTCTTCTAAAGCAGGACGACAGACTGGGGGAGCTGGGGGAGCTGGGAGAGCTGGGGGGAGCTGGGAGAGCTGGGGAGCTGGTGGAGCAGGAGAGCTGGGAGAGCTGGGGGGAGCTGGGGGGAGCTGGGGGAGCTGGGAGAGCTGGGGGGAGCTGGGAGAGCTGGGGGGAGCTGGGAGAGCTGGGGGGAGCTGGGAGGAGCTGGGAGAGCTGGGAGAGCTGGGAGAGCTGGGGAGAGCTGGGGAGAGCTGGGGGAGCTGGGGAGAGCTGGGGAGCTGGGGAGAGCTGGGGGAGCTGGGGAGAGCTGGGGGAGCTGGGGGGAGCTGGGGGAGCTGGGAGAGCTGCGGGGAGCTGGGGGGGGGAGCTGGGGGGGGTGGAGCTGGGGGGGAGCTGGGGAGGAGCTGGGAGAGCTGGGGAGAGCTGGGGAGAGCTGGGGGGAGCTAGCGTACGCCCGTGTCCACACATTAATGTTAATTTTTCCCCTGAGGGCTAGTTTATTGGGCAGCGTCACTCGACCTTGAGTGAATAGACCGACAAACGCAGCATGTACAACCACTCCCCAATAGGAAGAAAACCCGCTGGGTTGTTCATCCTGTCACTTGTACCCAGACGCAGCTGAGACTTTAACAACAGTGAACAAACTGTCAAACAAGGGATTAACAACTTAGAACTCTCAAGTTTACGTTATCTTGCGGGTGCAGAGTAGGGGTGGGGGGCATGTATTAAGGACAGTATTTGAGAACAAAGCGCTTCCTAACTCAATGTGGGGTTTATTTCACTACACACATTTCTGATACCTCTTAGATGGGCATAATCTGTCAGATACCTAGCAGTGAATAGGTACCTGGGTGTTAGTCAGCTGTCACGGGCTGCTTCCTGGGGGTGGAGGCCTGGTCGAGGACCAGGCCGCGGGGACACTAAAAAGACCCGAAATCATCTCAAGATAACTTCAAGATAGTGGTCAATACGATGTTCTTCAGACATGCGACAAGTTCAACGTGTTCACGCCTTGGCTGTAGTTTCCCTCCCTAATCTCCATGCGTACTTGTATCCGAGGCAAGTTCTTGCAAGTACGGATTCCTTCCATCCGCCACCTCTGCTTCCCGCCCCTAATGGACGAGGCTGTGGGCAGCGACTGCCTTGTGCCAGCGTCCAGATCCATCCAGTTGCTCGTCTACCATCTTGAGGTTATCTTGAGATGATTTCGGGGCTTAGCGTTCCCGCGGCCCGGTCCTCGATCAGGCCTCCTTTTTGTTACACCCCCCCCCCCCAGGAAGCAGCCCGTAGCAGCTGTAACTCCCAGGTACCTATTTACTGCTAGGTAACAGGGGACATCAGGGTGAAAAACTTTTTGCTCATTTGTCTCCGCCTCCACCGGGGATCGAACCCGGAACCTCAGGACTACGAAACCGAAGCGCTGTCCACTCAGCTGTCAAGCGCCCTGCCACCATCCTCTCCTCAGCTCCCTCGTCACGGTGACGTCGACCTCATTAGTAAAAAGGTCTTGGGCATGAAACATTCAATATGGTCTTCTTCAGCTCCCTCAGCAGGACCTCAGAGCGGAGGTCCGATATCCCCGGATGTCAACATGAGAGAGAACCCACAGGAACTAGACCATTCTTCCCATGTTCGATATCACGTTACCTGGTTGATGGGGTTCTGGGAGTTCTTCTACTCCCCAAGCCCGACCCGAGGCCAGGCTCGACTTGTGAGAGTTTGGTCGTTTGAACGTTTACCGTTCTCTTGATCATGTCACCTGCCTTCTGTCCACGCAGTGAGGAACACATCCGGTGCGACCTACTACTCACAATCAACTCTCACAATAACTAAAACGACAACCCAATCCTCTGGCGGTAATTACCGAGGTCAAAGGGGCCGTAACTGTGGTTGCGAGAGGGTAGAGGTGAAGGGGGGAAGGGGAAGAGACTACAAGTTTAGAGGTGAGGGAGGAAGGAGAGGGGAAGACTGACTTTAAGGTGAGGAAGAGTGATGTAAAGGTGCGCCTTACGGGATCACCATAGCCCGTGCTACATGGAAACTTCGATCTGAATAGCTAAATCTAAACCAACAAATGTAAAGGTACATAGAGGTTATCTTGAGGTTATCTTGAGATGATTTCGGGGCTTTAGTGGCTTTAGTGTCCCCGCGGCCCGGTCCTCGACCAGGCCTCCACCCCCAGGAAGCAGCCCGTGACAGCTGACTAACACTCAGGTACCTATTTTACTGCTAGGTAACAGGGGCATAGGGTGAAAGAAACTCTGCCCATTGTTTCTCGCCGGCGCCCGGGATCGAACCCGGGACCACAGCATCACAAGTCCAGCGTGCTGTCCGCTCGGCCGACTGGCTCCCCCATGGAGGCTACAAGAGCCTCCCGTTCTCCTGATCAATACATCGCATTTTGTACCTGGATTGTACCTGGATGGGGTTCTGAGGGTTCTTCTACTCCGAGGCCAGGTTTAGCTTGCTTGATTTTGACGTATAATTTCCCCCAAGGTCAACAAAAACTGGTTGATACCTGGTTGATGGGGTTCTGGGAGTTCTTCTACTCCCCAAGCCCGGCCCGAGGCCAGGCTCGACTTGTGAGAGTTTGGTCCACCAGGGTCCAAACTGGTGTACTGTACTAATAATGGCGGCGGCTCGAGAAATTGACGTGGCGTTCCGTTTGGAGTTCGTGGGACCTGGGTTGGGTTCGTGGGACCTGGGTTGGGTTCGTGGGACCTGGGTTGGGTTCGGTGAATTTAGTACATCAATTTAGTGA